TGCCTTTAATGCTATGAATATCTTTTTGGATTCAATACCAACATGCCTTGTTTCGTCAAAAGGGTTATCCCATAGGGGAATTCCGAAACTTTGTACCTGGTTTGGGTTGATTAGTGAATGGTCCAATTGGTTCCCATAGTAGAGTGCTTTGCTAATTATCAAGATGAACGTATTACCAGTCTGTGGACAATCAAAAGCAGTTGCTCCCGACACAATAGGGACGTTTGTCGGTGGTAATGCTGGGTCGTATGCATATACATCTGCTGATCTTGGTGTGTAACTCATGATCACAAAGTTCTTGCCAAGGCAACAAGTGTCGGGATTGGTGTCCATTTCATTACTTGCTAGCGTTCCAGGTGGTGGTTGTTGTACCGGTTGTTGGGATGTGGCTGTGTTGGATGAGATCACTCGCACAATTTGTTTGACCTCACCTACCGCGGATCATGGTGACGATCCACCTGCCTGTTGGTTGTGCCCGCACTGTCACCAAATGCTTTTCATTGATGTGAACAGTATGCAAGTGTTTCTTCCGGTGCTCCGCTTTTCCAGGAATCTTACAGTAAATGGCGATGGATTTCTGACAAACAGGGACTGGACAATAGTCTGGACCACCGGAAAGATATATAAAGTCACTACAGGTCGGTGGTTCATGGTCCGCCCCTATCATGGAGCCAGCAATCAAATAAACCTGGTTGATGTATCCTCCATCCATAAAATTGACATTGCTGGGGAAAGTCACGGTATCCCAGCTGTGCGGATGATGCCAGTGTTCTCTTTTGAGTAATTGTGTATGCGACAAATTCCAGAGCAAAAGCTCCATTTGCAAAAGATTACTTGATTTCAAAACTCCAACTCGATAGATGCCTTTGTGCATGACAACCAAAAGTGGTGTCTTGCCTGGTGGAGAAACGTAATTCCGTGTCAAGGTTGCAATGTTGGGGTTTACCAGAAAGGCAGCCTTCATTCCTCCATAAGCTTCCATCAGTTAGGCGATTGTCATGCGAACTTTCATCTCAAGTTTTACAACGGTGTCGTCATGGCACGCGATGTACAGTGTGTTCATTCCAACAACTGTCCTTGGTTTCTGTCGTTGTCGTTGATATGCATGGAAAGATTTGGGTAGCGGGAAACAAGAGTGCTCTTGTCTCTCCCTTTCACGCTGGGTGAGTAAATAGCGTCTTTCTTCTTCCTCGATTCTAGAAATTGCAGCGGCATACTGCTTTCTTTGAGTAATATTTTGCCGTTGGGCGTCAACACCTGTGAGTTGCAATTCCAGCAGCTTCAGCTCTGCTTCCACTCGAGTCAGTTCCATAGGCCTTCTTGCTGCCAGTACCTTTTATGTTTTTTTAACACCTCTTTCCTTAATAAATACCATTTTTTGTTGAAGGAACGTCTTGACGAGTCTAAGCCATAGTAATCTTGCAAACGGTGATACAGTGCAGAGTTGATAGCTTCAAGACATTTCAGCATTTTGCTTCCGGTTAACGAAAGTAGCACAGGTTGCTGGCGGCAGAATTCGACAAGTTCGCGCATCAGTGGATCTCTCATCTTGGCACATGGTGCTTTGTTGGTGCTCGTCATTTGATGGCTGTATATATTGGTAGCGATGACAAAGTGATTGTTGATGACACACTTTGCAACGAGAAAATAACGTTATTGCGGCACACAAAAATGGTGTAAAGAAAAAACCGGTCCCAACGCACTTCCATCGGAGGGACTCGGCTGTCAATGTACCTCCGATAGGAGCTGCTTGGGCCTATTTGATTGTGGTGTGTGCCCATGTCCGCATGTTTTCCAATACGGTACAGTAGCCTGTGGCGATCAAAATACACGAAGCTCATATCATCTTGTCTTCGTTTCTCAATACGGTAAGATGGTTCTCGAGTACCATTACCAGGGCATGAACGGAGAAACAACCCCAAAAAACATCGAGAGGGTGATTGTTGATTCGGTGAAGAAAATTGGCGAAGAGGCTTTCGCTCAATGCTATTCACTACAAAGACTGAGGATCTCCTCTCGTCTAAACAAGATAGGCCAGGGTAGCTTCGAGGAGTGCTATGGTTTGGTGGAGGCTGATTTGTTGGCAACGTCCGTCAGGGAGATTCCACATGGTGCCTTTCTTTGCTGTATATCCCTGCAGGCTGTGAGCTTACCGAAGCCAATAGTGCGTTTGTGTGCTACTTCATTTTATGGCTGCGAATCGTTGGTATCAGTGATAGTGCCCCAAGATTGCAATCCGATTCGGATCGGACACGTCTCTTTCGGTCGCTGCAGTGATCTCGTAAACATGGTTCTTCCGCCGGGGTCGACAGCCAAATATGACTCCTTTGAAGGATGCACACTGTTGGAAGATCGCTTTGGCAGAGAGCAAGATAATATTCTTTACGGATTGGAGGACCGCTTCGACTACGATCCTGTCCACATGTTTTGTTACGACCGATCCGGTATCAACATAACCCTGGAAGAACTTGGCCAAAGTATCGAGACGAGAATAAGCGGGGGATCAAGGCTGGTGGATGACTTTGGAATGACTCCATTCCACATCCTCTTTTCGACCATCGACCCATGTATGCAACTGCTCGAGGTCCTTCTAGACAAGTTACCATACTATGTTCTCGGCCGGAAAGACGCCAATGACAAACTAGCCCTAGAATATCTAGTGACAAACTGGACTAGGGGGAACAGGGTATTGTTGCAAATGAGCCTCCACCAGTGGATGCTTTCTAGATTGGATCGCTGGCATTCGAAAAGCTGGAGGACACGAACAATTCCCCTTGTGAATGATCTGCTTGCTGAAGATGACAAGGAACTTAGGATGTCTTATTTTTCCAAGGCATGCTCCGTTTTGAAGCAGTGCGAAAATGTGGAATCCCTTTCGATATTGGAAATGGCCTTGTGGAAAGTGCGACTCAGGCATGGGTGGAGCAGAGATGGAACCAGGCGGCGTGCGTTAGACCGACAAAAATCCCGGTGCTTCTGTGGAGCCCACATTGTAATTCCGAATGTATTGCTGTTCTTGCGGGGATGGTCAAATTGATTCCCCAATAGTAGTAGAGGTTTTGTCCCAAGTCGATAATAGTACATACTATGCATGAAGGGTAACAACAAATTTTGTAGACATGATAATACGCTGCAGACAAATGCGAAAATGGCATGAACTTCTAGTAAGCTGCTACCATTATGCTACAGTAATAGTATTGTTAGTCAATTAACAGGTACTTTCTCTTCTGTTTCCAGTTTAGCAACCAATCAAACTGTTGTCCAGCACCACCAGAGCCACTAGAGCTAGTTCCACTTCACTTCAACATCGCCCAGTGCAAAGTGCAGATGTGGTTGCTACTGGATCGATGCCCCTGCTTCACCATCATCATTGGCCTCTCCAGTGGCCTTCTGAGATCCAACAAGTGTTTTGTGAAAGGCGAGTTGAGCATTCGCCCAGCACCACCGGAGATTCCTTGAACAGGTCCGCCACAGGACCCTCCAGTTGAGTTCTGAACCTTCTGAAGCCCGGAGCTGATACGATTATAGAAGAAGAACTTCTAATCTTACATATCCTACTTCGCATATGTGCTATTACTTAGTCGGAGCAAACAAGAAGATAAATTCTCTCTATATATATTCATTTGTTACCGAAGACGACAGGGGTGCTGCAAAGCCTTTTGCAGCATTGGTCTATAAAGCATCAGATACATATCAGCAAACTCCTTCTGCTCGGAAGTTGGTTCCATTGCGTTTTCAAAGGTCTTCTTTGGAAGACATTCGTCGTCGAGGCCTACACAATCCAACTGTTCGCTCTGAGTGAACAAACTTTGGGTTGCTCTCTCTGTGACTACTATGTGCAATCGCCTGTTGATGATATCGCTTCCAGGCTTGGAATAGACGCCGGCATGGGCGAGATTCACTGGAATAGCGAGAGCACAGCCGAAGGGAACAAAGACGAACTCACTCTGTTTTCCAGAGCCCTTCTGTGCTACAGATGGGAGTATTCTCAGCATCATGCCATCAGTAGTGAGGGGGACATGAATGTAGAACGTCCTCCCTTCTTGAGGTCTTGGCCTATCATAGTGAAGGCGCTGGTGGTATGCCTTGTTGGTCTCAACGATTCCCGGGTGAACAAGGAATACGGCGATCAAGTTTTGCCATGGAATCTTTGCCAAATCCTCATAAATGACTTGAGCTGCATGTAACGCCAGCTCATCAATCAGAGACATTGTCGCATTGTCAATCAAATTTTTACCAAGCGTTTTCCAATCGTCTGGAAGCTGTGCTCCAGGATCATGTTTCTTTTGATCTGCCGAGAAGAACATGAAGTAACGGCCGCATAACTGGCTTCTGCTTTGAATTGGGAGACCATGATTGTTAGAAAAAGTCACTTCCTCTGCTGTCTTTGCAATTCCCTTCCAGCTCAGTTTTGTATCGTCTTTTGCAGCTTGTTCTAGAGCATGTACCACTCCTTGTATAAGCCCTGGCCTGACAATCAAAAAGTTGTAAGGGTCAGCGTTTTCATTATTGAAACTTTTTGCGCGGAATTCGTCAAAGCGACCGACCTTGGCTTCCAGCTGTTTTTTCATGTCATCAAATGGGACCATCTGGTTTGGTTTGGACAAGCTAATCAACAAACTTTGGAATTCCCGCAAAGTACCTTTTGTAAACAAGCCTCCATGCGCAATAACAAGGAGAAGTGTGTCCTTGAAAAAGTGTGGAACTGTCTGGACCACAAGCTTTGCATCTGTTTTGGTCCAGTCCGAATTTGCAGTCTTCCGCTCTTTAGGATAGGTGTTCTTAGCTCCGACTGTCATATGGTTTTTAGTTTTTGCTTTCTTTCCCTCGTCCGCAATTTGAAGCTCAAAGTCGGGTGATGAGTTCGAGCATTGTCGCTTGTGCCTGGCCCTGGTCTCCACATGCATTTGGTGGTCTGTAGCCCATTTCAATATTTCGGAATTGAAACAATCTTCTAACCGGCTATTGGCCCTACATATCTTGAAATGAGGTTCAATAATAAGAGAGGTGTCACGGCATTCCAAGAAACATGGAGGGACAGCTTGTGCCGCATTCCAGAGCAAGTGTTCTGTGTCAAGCTGAAACGGTTCTATTTTCAGGCTGGTCTCTTCGAATGGACCGTGTGCATCCCGGAACTCCAGACAACTTCCTTCAAAAGGGATGTACATTGCTCCATCAGGTTTGAGCAACTCAGCCAGTTTCGAAACACTGCATTGCGGTCCAACAACATATTTTTTTTGGGGGTTGAAGTAATCGATGCAAATTTGATCAAATCCATCAAGTCCATACTCTTCTAACATAGCTCTTGCTGCTGCCACAAGCGTAGTGCCGGTATCCTGGGTGTCCAACCTTTTATGGAGATGAGGGTGGAATCCATAGTAATGCTTGTTTCGGCATTCCTCAAATGAGATCGTAAAAACATGAACATTGGGCGTCTCTTGCAGCTTACTCAATCGTGCCCAGTCGCAAAGTTCTTCTTCCTCTAGCTTGCTATTGTGTATGGCTTCTGACAGCATGTCTTTGGCAGCATGAAAGGGAAATGGAGGAATCGCTAGCGTTATCATTCCAATAACCAGAACCGTTTTCGGTGTATACTGCTCATCGACAACCTTTTGCAGACATCCCATAATGTTTTTGATCTTTGTATTCTGTAATACAGACTGTGGTGTTCCAAATTTAGGACCAACTTGGATGCTATCAAGGTTGTGGTCAAACTGGTAGCGTCCACTCTCCATGAGGAGAGTCGCCCGTTTCACGTAGCCAAACAAGTTTGATTCAACACTATTGGGGTACTCAGAAATCGGTTGCTGCTCAATGCACAATGCCGGTTGTTTGCCTTGGATCACCAATCCCCATTTCGCCAGTACCTCAAATATGATGCTCCCAACGCGGTGTTCGAGGATGTTCTTGATGAATGGGTCATCATTGTTTTTGTTGTTTTGTCGGGTATTTCTCGCACCCCAAACATAGTACATCATTATAGTTTTGGTCAACCAATCGATGATGCGATTGATATAGTAATCGATGAGTTTGAGCTTTGCAAATGACTCTTTGGTGACCTCTTGCCTCAGTTCGGGCAGCATCGTTCCAAAGTTTGTGGATTTAATAAATATAAGCATGGTTGTAGCTGCCTCATCGTCTTCTTGTTCAGGGAACATATATTTCCCTTTGGATAGAAAGTTCATAAGATCGTTCCATTTGTTTTTGTTGCGTCTCTTTTCATCAATTGCAATCTGGTAAAGACTGTATTTGCATCCTGGCATGGCCTTTGTCAAGGCAGTGTAGGTAGTACTGTGTTCCAAACAGCTGATTATTGCCTGCCAAAAGATCCGCTTTGCCTTATTCTCTGTATTCAAATCTTCCCAAATTGATCTTTTCTGCAACTGCAAAACGTCAATCATAAAGTCAACAAGGGTTGCACTCTCCTTTCCAACATCTGAAGCATATGCACTAGGAGCGAGAAGCAACATTTCCTTTCGAGCCCTTTTCCCGAATTCTTCCGACATGTGATGTTATTGTGTGATTTTAGACAGTAACCCGGAAAAATGGAGGGCTGGAATGGAGTGTTGGAATGGAATGATAATGACTTTTAGTCGAATCGGTCATATACCATCGATTGGCACATTCCATTGAACATATTATAACGTACGGTATGTTTCGTAACACTATAGTATTGTATCTATTTTTTATTCTTTTTCGGCGAGTGGCGTATTAGGCTATTCATTTTGAGAGTGAAAGCCGCATGTTCAACTAGGAGATACAAATGGGATACTAATGGCTTGGTCAGACAAAATTGGCTGCTGCTGTTGGGCTGCTCTTGGCTGTAGAATGGGTCGATCATTCAAAATTGCAAGCGCAAGCTTTTGTCGAGCATTATTATCAATGTCACTCTGGTCGAAGGCCATAGGGACACCAAGGGAAACGCAGTCTGCAAATAGACAGGTGAATACACCACAGTCATACCCTGGAAATTGATTTGGAACATAGTTGAATACTCGTAGAGAATTGAGTTGCGGCGTTGCTCACAAAGGTGTAACTTACCATTTTGTTGTTGTGGAGTGTCTGCATTTGTGCAAATTGACTGCCAAGCTTCTTTGTTGGGCAAACCAGTCACATGCAAGCTCGAATGTTCGTCATCTAGGTATCTCATGAGATTTTGAATGATTTGCGGTCCAGCTCGTTTACCTCTAATAGAATCGTAAACTTGAATATTTTTCTCTTTCAAAGAAATGACTGCACAAATCCAGTGACTGTCATCTTGGTTGATTGGGATGATGATCTTTGTGTGGTTGAATATGACCCCAGCATCAAACCTCCCGCTGACCCAACTTTCCACCAATTCATAATTGTAGCGGTTGTAGGTCGGAGATCTCCTTGCACGAATACCATTGTTCATTAGTCTTGTGTAAAAGTTCGAATCCAAGAAGCAAAAGCCACTGCCAGCATAGTCTGTATCGTTCCGTATTTGCAATAATTTCATGTAGTAGTCTACAACCTGGCCTCTCAGCCAAATTCTAGGCTTGAGGGTCCAGAATGATGCAAGATCCATGCCTTCCAATCCAAGCCATTTGAATTTCAACTCTGGGTCATCTGTGCTTTCCATTTTGTCCTTGATTATGGCCAAATCGTCGGGTGACAAAGGAACGGAGAGAATCCGATGGACCATCATGCTACCAGGATGACATGATAACGACTCCCTGAAGCCAGTTGCTGTGGGATGTTTGGTTCCCTGCGGAAGTTGACGTTGATTGTACCCATCTAATGACGTATTGAGTCCGTCTTGGGTTGGATGATCTTCATTAGTGTCATCCAAATAAGTGATTGGCTGTTCATTGCTGTTGCCGATTTCTACCACTTGAATTCGCAAATTTGTGGGGGTGTGAAATAATGATTTATTGTGGAAACCAAGATGATCTTCATTTTTGTCATCCGAATAAGTGATTGGCCGTTCATTGCTGTTGCCGATTTCTACCGCTGGAATTTTCAAATTTGTGGGGGTGTGAAATAAGGATGTATTGTGGAAACCAAGGTCACGACCCAACACTCCATCGTGCTGGCTTTGAATTGATGGGAGAGATCGTTTCTCAGGGGTGCTTATTATTGGTTCCCTGTAGTGCCCGGTTCGAATTGGTCGCGGACCTCCGTGATCAGGAGGCGGTTTGCAACCTGCTGGGTCAAATTTGAAGTAAGTATGACTCTTATTTGCCCCATATCTCTTCACTACTTCGGAACAGGAATCCAAATTGCATGGGCTAGGATCTTTGTGGTATCTGTCGATATGATACCTCAAATCGTTCCGAATACTCTCCAGTAGTCCCAAAAATTCCTCGGAAACGATGCCAAATTTGGAAACGATGAAGGTGGCCACAGATAGTCGGTTTGCATCTGCCTTTCTGGTATCGGACATCTGCACTTGGATCGCCTTTAGATGGAAGGAGAGTGTGTCCGATTTGGGGCGACTTGCCAATAATGCATCCTGGTGGGTGTCAACTTTCATCAGTTCTTTGGGTGACTTCAAAGACTTGACTGCCACTCGTATCAGATCACCATGGACCTCCCACTTAGTCTTTGCAAAGACCTCCAACTTTTCAAAGGTATCTGGCTCTTGATACAATTGAAGAGATGACTTGAAAAGGCCTGGCTTCATAATCTCCTTCGTAACATATTTTATCTTCGACGGTGATGTGTAGATTGCTCCAATAACGTTGCTGTAGTCTGTTGGCATAATCATCTGGCTATGGCTATATGCCATGCCCTGGTTTCTATAGAAGAAAATGATGTAGGCTTGCAGAAGCAGGATGTGAGGGCAGGACCAACATGAATTATGGGTTGGGCTGCCATTGGTCAGGTACATTTGGTCGAACGGGCCGCGGTGCTCTTCTGCCAGTTGCCGACTCAAATTGTTTAGCAAATTGAAATGCCTAGTGTGAGAGATGGTAAGGAAGTTTCCTGCAAACGAGTCCCTTTGGATGTCATCGGGGTTTGTTTCTGGTTTTTTGACAAAAGGCCTTGTTAGGGCCGTAAACTCAGAGCTGCTGTTGTATGCTATAAGTAGGCAATTTGATTGCTCCATCCGCAATTCGCTTTTGCGAGATTTGAAGATGAATGCTGGGTCCTCCAATGAGCCATGCTTGGCAAGCTCTGAAGCAAGGAAATGCTGAAAGACGGACACATCACGGAAAGGGTTCCTTCCACCAAATGCTCTTATGACATCTTCTGCAACCTCCTTCACCATGCCGCACATCCGACCTAGGGCGATCAAAGCGCGTGGAACCCCAAGACTAACCCAACCTTGACCAGTTGGGACCGAGGTTGGGAATGCAGATCCTGAGGGGTAGCCTGTCAGGTAAGTGTAAATTTCGGCTGCAAGTAGCAAAGAAACAAGGGTCATTAGGACATGCGCACAAAATAGATTTGTTCTTGAGCACCAAGTGGCCCAATCTTACCTGCATCTCCTATTGGTTTTGGACAAAATATGATGGGAGAGGGCCAGGTGGCATCGAGGTGGACAAGGACACAATCAATAATTTGAAGCTTAGTCTTGGCACGGTAAATGGCCTTTGTGGCATCATTCATGTTGAAACCGCCACGAAGGCTCCGCTTGTGAGTGCTGTTCCAAAATGCAGTAATTCTTTCGGCCAGTTCAACTCTATAGAGAGCGACGATGACGTTTGCGCACCTTTCATAAAGCTTCACAACGGCTCTTGGTGTCGCCCCCACAGCCGCCCAGTTCACAGCTTGAAACATTGAATTGGCCGTGGTCGATGTGGGATCTCCTGCGTAGATAAATTCCATATACATCATTTGGACACATTTGCGATATTGGGTGGGATTTCGTAGCCCTTTCAGTCCTTCAATCTGGTGGACAGGCAATTTTTCTTGGAGCCAGTCTAGGAATTCATCTGGTTCCTCTTCCCCCTCGTCATCGTCATCAACTGCCCGCAGTGCCCTCAGGCGCCGATCCATCATTTGTATATTGCATGTGCTTGGATCGACTCCTTCTGTGACACAAGCCCAAGTGCTCCATTCCTCGTCCGTGCTCACCACCTGAATGAAATCAGGGTGAACATCCCACCAGTTGTTGTCATAGTGGAAAGGTGTGTTAGGAGCGCTTTCTTCGTTGGATTTCGCCCGCTGGATGCTCCTTTCTAATATGCTCCATTTGGAACCGGCCCCAGCACCAAGAAGCAGCACGAGTACTTCCGCCGCTGCCATGTAGGCTGCCCACACTGGATTTGGTAGCAGCTCCTTGAGCTGTGGATTTTTCTCCATCGCACAAAGCCCCTGAACAAGTATATAGCGATGATGGTCCACATGAAGTTTGAGCCCTTCATAGAGATCTCGCCGTCGAACGAAGGATAGGCAGGACACAGGGGTTTCGCCATCGGCAATGGGAACAGATATCTTTTCGTTTTCATCACTGTTTGCAAGAGCCGTTGCAAAGGTTAGTTCATACCTTGTCTGCATCGTGTGAACCTTCAACCTCTCCAACCACGAGTCCAAGACTCTAAACGACTCCCGGATAAGCTCAAACATGTTAAGATCTCTCCCATTTGTTTTCTTCTTTGTTGCAGAATGGGCAGCAGCAATGATACCTTCGACCTCCGAGACAAATCTAGCAATCATCTGAGGAATTTGTCTTGCTTGCCTTCTTAAATCTTTCTCCGTTTTGTCTTGAAGTCCAGCCCGAGTGGATGGCTCGTAAATTTGGACAATTGGGCAAGCCCTGTCGCTTAGATATGCGAGGACAATGAGTCGGCCGTCATCCGTAATCATGACCTCCAGTCTCACTCCCGGTCTTTGCTGAAAGTTAGACCATATACGTCCCGTTGTGCCATGTAGTGGGAACCTCGTCCTAATCCATTTTCTGAACCCGTGCGCACGCAGCCAATCAAACACAACCGACTCGACAAGTAATTCATCGTCGGAGCTACCGTTCAAGTTGCCATTTTCTTCAGCTGTGGTGTCAAAGCTCGCAGTTGGCAATCTCTCATTGTTGCCATCTCCTTCGTCATTAGCTCCTATTTCTTGGTCAAACAAAGGGTCTGGCTCTGATTCAGATTCATTGCCGTCCTCGCTCTCGGAATCCCTCTCGAGGGTAGTATTTGGTATTCTCCCATTGTTACCATTTTCTTCTTCCTCGGCTGAATGATCTAGCACATCTTCTCCCTCATTATCCGAGTCTTCTGCTGGCATAGTGATATTTTGTTTTCGGGCCTTGGCCGCTGATCGAACAATTTCTCCTGCCGCGACACCACTTGGAATTAAGTTGTATCTCAGATCAGCACAAGTGAAGACCACCGCTATATCGATTGCACAAAAGGCAGAGTCTGAGAAATTGTCTTCCACGTTCTTCTTGAAGAAGAATGCACGTGCTCTCTTGTATGTAATCTGGAAACAGTTCTGCAAATACTTGTTATAGGTTTCCCAAGAGGCTCGATCCATCGCTAGGTGGGGGGCTGGTGGCAGTGACATCGATCGTCTTGTAGCAGCATCGAGAGTCGCTACCATTCCTGGCCAGCAATCTTTGAACCCCGCAGCTTGCACAACCAAACAGGAATTGTGTACAATCATCTTGGCAGCTTGGCTGGTCACACCCTCAGGGATGAGGGAAGCTGTCCATGTGCCATCTGCGATCAGCTTAATGACGTCGAAGATCATCTCCAGCAAAAAGATGGACACCTTCCCATAGACGCTGGCGTCAACATTGACGTCATTGTTGCCATCAAGGCGGAAAGCGTATAACTTTCCAGCAAGTCCATTTTGCCACTTCCGGGATTCCTCTCCCCATTCGACCGCTTCAAATGTCTCTGTGGTCCTGTAATTTCGGATGGCTTCGCAAAACGCGAAATTCCACGTTCGAGGCAAGGCCGTTGGACAGCTTGTGCCAATTACGTTGCCATTGCTGATGATATGAAGGGACATGTGCGCCGTTAGTGCACCCTTGAACATTACCTTTGCAATGTTGAGACCTGGAAACTCGTCAATTGTAGGGGTGTTGCTTCCCTTCTTTGGTTCGCTTCCATCTGCATAGCAGGGAGTGAAGTTCCTCCTGCTGCTTGTTGGCATGGCAATTCGAATGTTCCTTGGCGCTCTATTCGCATGAGTTGGGCTGAACTTTATCCCTTCAACGGAGTTGAACATCCGGAAGTCCCTCACGACAGCTGTGACGAAGGCCATGGAGTCTGCATCGTACTCCCCTTTCACTTTGTGGCCATCACTGTCTGCTGTGATTTCGTCGCTTGTGAGTGCTCTCCAATGTCTATATCAAGAATGCTGATGAGCAAAATGCAAATGACATGGGCTCCATACAGGACCAGAAGAGCACACTAGCAAAAGGGTTTTGGCGCAGGTTTGGTATCTCTCATTCCTCCTTTGA